ATGTCACCTTCCCTGCTGGCACAGAACAGTAGCAGGCAAAGCCATAGGATTTGTTCAGTTTATTAGGCGCTGCATCATTACACCAGTAAGCATACTCACAGCACTAAGACTCTGCATGTGGTAACAGTTATTACTCTTCCTTTCATCAGCCCACAGCCCACCAACCTGTCCAACGTTACTGCAAGACTGTGTGCGTTGGCAAGAGGCTGAAACAGGTGGTTTTGTTGAGTCGTCCTCTTTACTGCTAGGGCATGAAATACTCTTGAGCACAACTCTCAAGGAAACCCCTTCCCAAGATACACATGGCCCTGTTGGCCACATGGAACACTTCTCTCCTCCTGTGCTCTGACCATCAGAACAACACTGATGGTTGCTGCAGACAAGAGGACATTCCCCCTTTGCCAGGTCCTCCCTGTCCCCAGCCAGAGGTGGAGGCTGGGCACACACCACTGAGCTGTGTGGAGCAGGGTGAAGCACCAGATTAACATCATGAGTGCCAGGACTGCATTACTTAACCGATGACTCCGACGTCCTAGAGTCTTTTAGTTGCAATACTTCAACACTACCACACTAATGTTAACTTCTGCACTTAGCAGGAAAAGACTTTGAGACAGTTTGTCTAAGTGTATTTACACAAAGCAAGCTGTTCTCTAGCAGTCCTACTCTTAGCAGTTTTATTAGATACAGGTATATTAAACTTTAGTCTGCAAGTTACTTGCCCAGAGATGTTCTAATCTAGAAGACTGTTGTTTTAAACCTAGCTTTGCAGGTGAGCAGAAGGTCATCCGATATTTACCACAGATAAACAGACATGCTCCATCTCCCCGCCATTACATCTACTGCACTGTTTTGTGGTTTCTGGTTTACTTGTATGTTAAATGACAAATCGTAACCTAGGGGGGAAAGGTATTTGCCAACAGAGGATCATGCACTCTCAAGTTTGGGTTTTTTAGAACGCATCTTTCAAAAAATGCAGGCAAATATTCCGAAGTGTGATTTAAAGGTGCCTTTCAAATCACACTGCTATGCAGGTTCCGAGTTCCTAACTGAACAGCTCCTCCAGTGACAGCAATACACAATAAGCTTCAAAAGAAGAAAAAGGCTTAGAAGAGTTAGAAGGCCTTTCTGAAAGCATATAAAAATATCGTTGCTAGACTACCTAAACATGCTTCACAAAAAGACACTCAGTTTTCCTTTTCATAAGCATTACAGACTTCAAGAGAACAACACAGATATTGATCATAGCCTGCCCTTTAAAAATCAAAGGCAACCAATTATACCCCGGTTCCCTCTCATACTTGCGTCTTACAAAGAAAGAGATCAGGGAAAGGAAAGCATCCTTTGCAATTTCTCTTCCCATTCCCTCCTTTATTTTGCTTATCCAGTCATACACTCTTTTTACGTAACACCAAGTGCATCTGCAAACAGAAACACCTCGTTCAAACAGCACAGATTAGAGCTGCTGAGACAGACCATGTCATTTCTGTAACAAATCCCCTAGGATCCTAGTACGGAAATACACGTTTATGTGGTGATGGAGAGGAGAAGGGCAGACCTAATTCATGAGTTTTTCTCATCTCTTCCAGCTTTATTCACAAAATTCACCCACAATTTCACAACAGCAGCAAAGCCCAGAAGGAGAACGTAGCACTCACCAGGTTTCCTTCATTCGGTGTTGGGTTCTCACCTACACATTACACACAAAGTTACAGGGGAAAAATAAAAGCCTGCCCTGAATCTACGTTGCAGGCTGAGTTTAAGTCCCTAATTACAAACGGTTATGTCACTTCTCACCCAACAGATGACCCAAGCTCAGAAGAGGAAAAGGTAAATAAGTTAAAAACCTGCACTACACCTTCAACACAACTGAAGCAGAACACTACCTCTCGTTAAGACAAGTAAACTTATTTGGCTGGTTACCCTCTCAATCACGGAATAAAATGAAGAGGAAATCCGACTCATCAACTGCTCTGCTACTAAAAGAAAGTGCAAAGCCTTAACCTGCTCAATGAACCCATACGTTCCTACTATCTTGTATTTCCTTTTGCAGAGATGGAACATACCGAAGTCTGTCTTTGACTTTGTTTTTGGAATTGAACACGGAATAATTCTGGAGCACTGTCTCCGAGATGTATGATTGCAAGTCTTAGATACCAACTCTACGGGAGCAGCGTATCAGTTCTGATTTAGTTATACTCCATAGAGAGGGGACCTAGTGATAGTCTTTTACAAATCTATCAGTCTGGAAACAAATACATATATTACTCTGCCTACGTATGTTGAAGTCATAAAGATAGGCTTTCCAGGCTTGTTCTGCATATGGTGCTGAGCACTGAGGAGGGTAAAGAAAGAATGGACAAAAGAAACCAAGCTATTCTTTCTATTTTGTAGCTTTCAGTATAAAACATGTTAACATCTGCATATCAAATAGAATATATTTAAACTGACTTCATATAAGTGTCTGCTTAAAATCCTCCCCAGAACAAAAGCCATGCTTTATAGGGAAAAGCAAAAAGAAGGGCCTCCTTACCCATACACCATCCCAGCAAACACTTGTGTAGCTGTTTGTAAATGATACTTCAAACAAAACGTACTAAGACATTTCAAGACTGCAAAACAAATGATTTCCAATTGTCAAGGTACATCAGCAACGCCAATCAACAAATGCTTCAGGAAGACTCTAGAAGGTATGCAAATCATGCTAAGACCACTTTCCAAGCAGTAGGCAAAAGAAACCACACAGTTCTGCAGGCAGCAGTAAAACTATCCCAAGGAAACTGCTTTCAAAGATTGACAACCATATCGTCATGGGACAATGGCTTGAATTTTAACTACCACGTTCAACACACCCAGTCAGTCCCCAGGGTCATATGCTGCAGGACTTTAACATCACCATTAAGCCCATGGACTTTCCCATTTCCAATCAGTAATACACAAGATACCTTGAAAGTCAATCCTTCTTTCTGGAAGGCCTTCGTGCTTTAAGGCATACTTTTCAAAGTATCCCTGCCACTGCAAATACTATGTGGACTTCTTTTGACGAGCAAATACAAACATAGGAAAAGATTTTTAGAACAGCATTATCTGGGAAAGCTTGAGCTGTACCAAGCAAGGCAATTTTGAAGCAGTGCAACATTGCAACAGTTCTAGCCCGAGACACCGGTACCTAGCTTGCTGCTGTTGCCATCATCTCCTTAAGAAGAACTGGAAGCTCACCTAGAGTATCCACAGAAACACTGTGCATCTGGGAAAGGCACACGACAGGGTACCAAAAGGCACATTATCACAGACGCTTCAGCTCTTGTAGCCTAGCAAAAAGAGTGCTCCATGTGCATCAACACTGACTTTCTGACTAATGAGGAGTCTGACCAGACTCCAGAGCTGTATGCTGCCATTCCTTTTTTTTCCTTGTTTACATGGCAAGACCTGCGGATGCAGCCTGGGCAGAAGAGAGGGAAAGAATTTTAGGAGGGCTGTTCATACTTTGCACTCAACGGATTCACCTCCACCCCTTTCCAAGGTTTAAGCACGTACAAAGAATCGATGGCTGTTTCCTTGCACGAAGTGCAGCAGCCAGGATGAAAATCAGTGCATCTGAGGGCAAGACTAGAGCCTTCCTCAGTATTTCAGTTCAGTCCATCACCATGATGAGCCTATGAATACTAACAAGCAAAGGTAAGTCCAGTAATAACTGCCAAGCAAGCATGCAGAGGGGAAAAACCCTACAGATTCTGTAATTAGCTCTGCTAACAGCAAACAAAGAGCCATACAGTCGAGAAACATTGCACAGCGCTATTTGTACGAAAGAGGTTCCCTCTTGTTCCCCTACATTATGAAGAAGCAGCAGCAAAGTCAGTGCAAGGAATAGAAGACCTACCCTTCTGACACGAGCTTCACGTCAAACTTGTTAGCCTTGTGCCCTGATAGTTTCAAGTGGAGACGATTAAGAGATGCACAGACTTAAAGAGAAGTTTGGCTCTACCACCTACATTCACAGTACAAGTCAAGTCTCTTCTGAAGAGATGCACCTTTTCATGTAACACTAAAATAGAGACACGTTAAGAACAGAAGTATTTCTGTACGAAGACTTTCAGTACCCTCAGCATCTCAAACCAGAAATACAATGCATCTATATAAAAAACCTAGAAGAAAAACATCCCACACACCCACTATATTTAGATAACCCCCTGCACATCCCCATACGACAACATCTGTGCTTCAGCGCTTATTTACACCTTTATATTTGTACATTTGAAATTATTAAGACATTCTTACCTGTATATCCTGCCCACCAGCCCCAGGAAGCCACCATAGCTAAAAGCCACTTAAATAATACTCCTTCGATATACCAGAAGCTTTGACTATCCAACACTCGGAGAGGCTGCAGCATAATTAAATACAAGACGTAGGACGGAATAGCAACCAGGTTATTGGCGACCATAAAAGCGAACCTGAGGAGTGCTTTCAGGCAGACACAGCCCACCCGCTGGGCCTGCTCTAGAGTCACGGCCATTCTCTACACAGCGGAGGGCGCGGGACCGTCCTGCAGGGAAAGAGAGAACGAAGCTCAGGTAGCGCTGTCCGAGCGCGGCGCGGCGCGGCTGACCCCAGCCCGCCCCCGGGACCTGCCTCTGACCGGTCAGGGAGGCTGCTGCCCCCGCTGCAGGAGGGCACGGAGGACGCGGCTCGACCCTCCCGCCGGCGCCGCAGCGGCGGCCGCGTCCCCCCCCCCTTCCCTCAGCGGGCCCCGGGGAACCCCGTCGGCAGCTCGCCTCAGGGGGACACGCGCGGTCCCCGCCGGCCTCCATCTTCCCCCCCCCCCCCCCGGAAAAGGTCGCTGGCGTTACGGAGCTGCCGGCGGCCTCATACCTCATACCCCACCCCGGAGGAGCTGACAGGAGCCGGGGCCCGCGGGCAGCGCTGAGGGGAGCGGGCCCGGCGGCGGGAACTCACCTCCGGCAGGGCGGCGGGGCTGGGGGAGCTGGGTCCGGCGGTGGCGGCAGCCCCGGCCGGCGGCGGCTCATGGACCTGGAGGAGGCGGCGGCGGACCCGGAGGTGCGTGGCCCGGCTCCGGCAGCGCTACTCGCCCTGCGGCTCCCTGCGGAGAGACACGGGGGGGGGGGGGGGGGGGGGGGGCGGGCGGCGTGAGCGCGGGGGCCGGCGGGCGGGGAGGCGGGAGCGCCGGGCCGGGCGGGCAGGCGCAGACCGCGGGTTCACCTCAGTTCTCCCGCTCCGGCGGCCGGGGGGGGCTGGGCCTGGAACCCCCTTCCCTTTCCCCTCCCTGCCTGCTCCGCACCGCGCCAAGCGCCGGCCCCGCAAGGACGGTGGGGGGGGAAGGACCCTGCACCTGCCGGGGGGCGAGGGCCCGGCCCGCGCAGGGTCCGTACCTCAGCGCCGCCGCCTCAGTGCCCGCCGCGGGCCGCCGGCGCTCCATGCCGGCCGCTGGGGCCGCGCTCCCCGCCCCCGCCGGCTGCGTGTCCGCCGTGACCGCCCTCCCGCCACCGCCGGGGAGCGGGGCCGGCGCTGCAGTGAGCGCCGCCCCCCGTCCCCTCACACAGACACAGCAGCGCCGAGAGGGCCCCGCCGCCCCTGGCGGCGTCTCCCGAGGCGGCCCCGCGCCGCGGAGGGGCAGAAGCAGGGGGTGCCCCTGCGGGGCTCCCCCCTGGCGCTGCTGCCGCCGTCCGGCGGGGCGAGAGCGGGAAGCGGCCCGGCCCCATTCTCCCCCGCCTATCGCCTTGGCGACCTACTGCTTTGATCCCCCTTGGCCGCTGCTTGGTTAAAGCTGGGCACAGGGTTCCCCAGAAAGACCGTTCTGGCCCAGAGCGCAACAACGCGTTTTGTCCCTGGGGGTGTGCGTCCCTTCCACGTGCTTTTTATAGATAACTTAGGGCTTTCTTCCTTCCCTCTCCTGCAGCCACAAACCCCATCATCTGCTTCCAGCGACAGTTAACTCGGGCCCAGCAGCAGCCGAGGAGTCAGACTCGCAGCCCCCTCCCGAGAACCTGCACCCCACAAACCCCAGCAAGCAGGGTTCTGTGTAAGTAAATCGTCCCTTGTGGTGATGCTGTTGCCTTTCCACTGTGCCTGCCTGACACAAGTCACCCCCATAACCCCCGTGCCTGCCTGACACAAGTCACCCCCATAACCCCTGTACAGGCCTTGGAAGAGCACTGTCAGAACTCCTTCAGCCCTCTTCTGTCTGACCCAGCCCTGTTTCCTCGGCTTACTTCAACTCTTCCAATACCTACAGCTGGGCAGAATGGCAAGTGATTTTAGCTCTGTTTGGGTTCTTAAGGAATAGAAGCAGGTGAAAACCCCTACACCTTAAGAAGGAGACATGCCAGAAGGTCTTTTGTGCTGAAAAAGGAGAGAGTTTTCAGATGGCAATACTTCAGCCTGAAAACCGTATCGCTTTCACATACAAACACCACCATGCGTAGAGCTAGCCCACTGTTTCCTAGACAATGAGGCTTTAGAGACGCCTTGTACCATCAACTAAACTAAATCCAAACCTCCATTCTAGGCAGCAAAGAAAGTTGTTACTGCAGATAAATTTCATTTGAGACTCTAAAAAGATGCAAACAACCAAATAATGCCCTCATGTTCTATTTGAGCAAAACAAAACAAAACTGCTGACCTCCTGCACAGAAAGAATGCATCTTGCCTAAGTGTTTCCAAGTCTGGGTGGTTTTCTATGTTGTTTTCATTACTAGGTTAAATCTGACAGTTGCACTCTAATCACTATGAAGTCAGCTTGAGTTGTTCTGAAGTACTACCAGCTTCAGTAAGCCTCGGGTGGGTATCTTTTATCTTATGCAAACAACTCTGGGCATACCCTTGAACTTACTCGCAGCAGAACTTTGCTCCAGCATCCTCAGGTAGAGAAAGGATAATTTTTAGGCCATAATTGAAGTTACATTTTCACTTTAACAATCCAACAGCAAAAAAAAAAAAAAAGCCTTTTTTTAATGATTCCAAGATGAAAACCATGAATTATAATAAATTTTTGTATAATTTGTTATCTTAATTATATTCACACACTGTACAATTTGGAGTAACGTTCTCAAGTCTGATGCATCAAACTGAGGGACAGCAGAAATTACATCAGATAACTGATGAATTAGGCAATTTATACTGCAGAAAGGGACTGCACGTGGGGAAGCAGGCACTACAAAGCATTCTTTGTCACAGTGACTGCCGTAAAGCTTAGGAAGCTGTGGTTTAGTGTTTGCTGAATGAGCTCCTAGGAAAGACCCACCCCTCTTCCTCATTTCCTGGCCTTTCCATGGACAACCCAAGTTGTGGAAGTGTGTACAATGAAATACCCCTCATGGATCTTCAGAGGCCTGCTGTCTGTCATCCAGCCCGAGGCTCTGAGGGATCCTCTCTAGTATAAAGTAACACACATGTATATGTGCCATTACTGCAAACAAAAAGAAGGAAGCAACTAAGCAGTAGAAACTTGTTTCATTTGGTCAATAACGCTGAAGCTCAGAAGTTTCACAACTGGGTCTTGGTTTTGACTTAAGAATAAAAAGTGTTTCTCATTTCTGGAAGCAATTCCTCCCAATCTCTGAACTTTATAAGCTTTCTCTGTATACCATTTGTCATTTTACTATTAGAAATGCAAAACAGGCAAAAGATTAATAAACTCTCAACTTGTGGCCCCTTTTAAGCATTTCTTTGAAGTTTACATGTTTTTTGATGGAATACCCCCCTGTACCTATGTCTTCTCAGCGTCACCTAAATACTAACAGGGATGTCACTACTGATCATTGTACAAATACATTTTAATGTGCTTATTAACTGGCAGATACAGATACTGCTACCATTGTAGTGTCAGGTGATTGACTGAAGTCAAGGGTTGCTGGAGCAGAGAATTAAATTCTGGAGAGGAATTCTCCCACTCACCTCCAAAAAAAACCCACAACCAAAACCACAGGAAAATAAGGTTATTCCTGCCTGTAAGAAGGAAAAACATGCTATTACTGAGGTGGGGATGTAACAGAGTCATAAACAAACACACGTGTTACATTCAGTTACTTTAAAAAGCTATGCTGAACAGCACACAGTTTGCTGCAAGGGAGCTGCACAGTCTGGAAGATTCTTAACTCACACAGGCTGGATTTGATCCCTGGATCTGGCTGCAAGATTCAAGCCACGTTTTGGTCGTAAACCCCTTGAGAGACTTCAGAAGATCTTGGGTTGTGTCACTGGGCACACTTCAAGACAGGATGAGCGACTGGCATTCTCATACGGTACCAGTTCACAGTGGCAGGTATGTGCATTCCGACTGTGCTGCAGCATTAGAGCAGCCTGCGAGCATAGCTGCGAGGCAGGAATGCACTGCAGGCATTCAAGTAGTGCACAAGTCACAGAGGCATGGATAACCATAATGAAATCCAGGTCCAAAGCTGTAAACACCAAACCAACTGAGAGCTTTGTTTCTGGAATTCAGAAACAGCAAGTTTTGGAAGGCTTTTGAACCTCTGTCTGGGGCAAAGACTGGAAAGTAAAAAGCTGCTCATTCGTCCTGACAGATTCAGTCAGTTCTCTCTGCTTGCTTTCCTTGTAGCAAACTGAAGTCACGGATGCCATATGGTCAGAGAAAAGAAAAAGGATTAGGAAGATACATCATGTGCTGATGACACCAAAACCAGAAGTACCTTTAAAAAACCATAAAGGCTTGTCATGCAGAAAATAGAGACAAGAAAATAGCCTGAGAAATCTCAGATATTCTGGAGAGCAGAAAACAAACTACTGTTGCTAACCTCTCAGAAAGAAAAGATGTAAGCAGACAAACTGCCATGAGGAACTACAAAGATGGGAGCATGTGCAGAGCACAGGCTGCTGGAAGATGTATAACATGAATCAGGGCATATACTCAAGGGACCATAAATCGGGAAAGCATCGCAAGTGAATTGTTAGCATTAGATTTGGAAAAAGAACAGGTTAAAGAAGCACCAAGAAGAACCTAACAACTGTGTTTTCTACAGGCTGCAATAAAGAAAGAAAAGAATCACAGAATGGTTAGGGTTGGAAAGGACCTTAAGATCGTCCAGTTTCAACCCCCTGCCATGGGCAGGGATGCCTCACACTAGATCATGCCCCCCAAGGCTTTGTCCAGCCTGGCTTTGAACACTGCCAAGGATGGGGCATTTACAAAAAAAAAAAAGGGAGCAAGTTGTGGGCCTGTAAACCCAATCATTTTTAACCTCCAATTCTGAGCTGCTTTACAGAGTGTCAGATACCCTGGTGTGGAGGATTTTTGCACTGCTGTCTTGAGAACATTAAACACTGCATTCATTTTCGTAACAAGTTAATCCTTCCAGATATGCTCTAACAGTAGCTTCCGTTACATCCTCCATATGAGAGGCAAAATCCCCTCTATTCTCCAAGTAAGTTCTTCGCTATAAAGGATGGAATCGGTCACTCCATCTCTACCAGCTGTACCTCTGGAGAAACACAGGAAACATGCTTGTTAACGTCCTTTAATCTTCAGTGCCAAGCTGCTCCTGCATCCTCTCTTACTCATCCACCAGCAGACCACACTTCTTAAAACTTTACTTTCAGTAATCTCTCAAATAGAGGAGTTTCTTTTGAAGACTCACATCTATGTATCCCACACAGAATGCAAATCCTGGGCCATTTTCCGATTTTTCTCTGGGAAGTAACTTACCAGACTATTTGACCTTCCGGTCAAAGATGCTTTTGTTTGCATCCTAGTTCCTTTAAGGACACTTCAGGGTAACATGAAAATGGAAGTAAAATGTGCCACTGGCTTCAGTCCTTGCTGCATTCCTGTATTTATGTAAAAAAGGCTTTAACTGTCCTGACACAGAGCTCAGCTCCCTTCACTTGCCCCCCTCTCCAGAGCCATACGCAGTATCCCTCACCAAGATGAGCCAGCTGCAGACAAGTCAGCCTTGCCAGTTCCTAGGGTTCTAGCATAGAGAGTCGTCATTCGTACTCACTTTCTCTTAAGATTTTAAGTTCTTGGATCAGAACCTAAGTTTTATTCACATTAAAAGTTACAGGCCTCAGAGAAAATGGGTCACCAGTGGGACCAAAAATAAACGCATACTTCCCCCTGCTCTA